CCCCAAAACCCCAAAACCCCAAAACCCCAAAACCCCAAAACCCCATAAAATCCCTGAGCTTGACACCTTTATAATTATATAGTTTGGAAATGGAGACAGAAGAAAAGAAGCTTTCTATCGAAGATTTCACCCTCCTGAAGGTAGTCGGAAAGGGATCCTACGGAACAGTCATGCTGGCTAGGAAAATTGATTCCGGAGAGGTCCTAGCTATTAAGATGCTGAAGAAATCCTATCTGAAGAAGAGAAAACAAGAGATCCATACTAAGGCCGAAAGATTTATTTTGGAAACAATAAATCATCCATTTATTGTTAATCTTAAGTATGCTTTCCAGAACACAGAGAAGCTTTACTTCTGTTTAGAGTTTTGCCCAGGAGGTGAGCTCTTTTTCCATCTTCAGAGAGTCGAGAATTTCGATGAGGAAGTTACTAGGTTCTACTCTGCACAAATGGTCCTTGCTCTGGAACATCTTCACAAGAACAATGTCATTTATAGAGACCTTAAGCCTGAAAATGTTCTGATTAACACAGATGGATATATTAAGCTCACTGATTTCGGTCTTGCAAAGGAAAACGTCATGACTGACAAAGACGCAAAATCTTTCTGTGGAACACCCGAATATCTCGCTCCAGAAATATTGGAAAGAAAGGGGCATGGAAAACCTGTCGATTGGTGGAGCCTTGCGTCTATCATCTATGAAATGATAGTTGGACTTCCTCCGTTCTATGAGAAGGACAACAGAGAAAAGCTATTCAAAGAGATCAAATCGGGTGAACCTGAGTACCCGGATGACATGAGTCCAGCTTGTAGAGACCTTCTCGAAGGTCTTTTTAAGAAAGATCCGGCTGACAGATTAGGAGGATCTGAAGGAAATGCAGATGAAATCAAGAGCCATCCATGGTACTCACAAGTAGATTGGGATATTCTCAAGGAGAAGAAAATAATCCCACCTTTTAAGCCAAAGTTGGACTCTGACGATGATACCAAGTATATTGACAACGAGTTCACAGAGATGCTTCCAATGGATTCTGCTGCTGATGGAACTGTACTTGATTCTGGATCAATGACTTGGAAAGATTTCTCATTTGACTCCAATAAAATGATGACTGATTAGTTAATGACTAGAACTGCACTTGTATTCTTGGATACGCTCAACTCATTTTATTGCTCAAAAATAGACTATGGTAATGGGGTTTTGGGGTTTTGGGGTTTTGGGGTTTTGGGG